TGCACTTTGTAAATCAGAGAATTATTTGTAAATAAGTTTATAGACAAAAGGACACAAGAGGAAAAAATGGAACCATGTAGTGCTGTCCCTTGTCTTAATAATCTTTCCCTGCTTTTTTTTTTTTTTGGTGTTAATACTACTCCGTTTCAGCAGGAAACATAAGGCACATTCCTACTGAATGACTGAGGAAAGTTTTATGATGGTACTGTGTACAAAGGTATGCATAGCTAAGGGATGGCAAAAGCAGGCAAAGGGAGAGAGCAGTTGTTGGAACTCAGAGAGGGTAACCATGTAGAGGGGCCCCCAGGTGGAGCTGTGGCCTGTTGAAGGATTGTAGACACCTGTGATGCCCTGCAAGAAGGAAGCTGAGAATAAATGCCCTCCCTCTTTCTTCTGCTTTTTGGCCACAGAGGACAGAAAGCTGTTGATGAAACTCATACCCAATCAAGATGAGAAGGTAAAGATCCCTGGGTGTGTTTTTGGCACCAGGAAAATATTTTCCTTTAGAGTTGGTTTTTATATTATTGTTTCCTTCCTCTTAATTTCTCTCCATTCGTTCATTAGTCCTGTATTCTGCTCCCATGTAGCGCCTGCATTCTTGAGATGCCAGGCATGTGGACCGCATAAAGGGGCTTACTGAGTAGAGATGAAGAATTGCCAAGCATGGATGTGTGAATCAATGCAGCGTACCTCATTTGCTACTTTGTCATGCATACATGTTAAAAAACAAACAGATAAACAACTTAGATGTCCAGGAGAAGCAGGTCCCACTGCCTGGTTTCTTTGCAGATCATTAACCTACCAAATTAAGATCTTTTCTGTTTTTGTTATAGAAAGAACTGGCAGATTCTGATTTGATGATGATATCTGCTGTTAGACCCTCACATCAGTATCTTTGGCTGAGTCTTTGGCTGTGAGATTGTGATAATAAAGATGCCATCCGAATTTTTTTCTTACATACTTTTAATTGCTTAAGAAAATAAAGGTATTAGTTTGTATGTATTATTGATTGTTAATAAATCACTTATAGCTTTATTTCTACTGGAGATGCTATTTTTCAGGTATTTTATGTTTCTCTAGTATTGGAGTTGGAATTATGCTATAGTCATTATTATGCTATAGTCATTCTGCAATTGCAAGTAGAAACACCAAAACAACACCCAGGATTTGGCAGTATATTTATTGTACATCAATGGGTACTGATCGGGATCATTCCCCAAATGTCAGGCCCTAATCTGTAGTGGACTCGGGCTTACATGGGATAAGCAATCAGGAAGTACAGAGGCAGAATGGCTTGTCAATTAGGGATTGGTTTATACAGTGTGTATCATAGTAACCAGCTGTGCATCACAGTGACCAGCCATTTCTAAGAGACAAAAGTACGAAACAGAGAGACAGAGACAAAGACAGAGACAGACAGAAGCAACAGGAACTGCCACTGGGCAGCTGAAGTATAGTAGCTGGGAGGAGGAACATTTTCTGCTGCAGTTCCACTACAGTGGGCTGATAGCATTCATATTGTAGTGTTTTATGTTCGAAGGGATTCCAGATCACCTTGTTGAAAGTTACAAGAATCACATGTCTCAGGATTGCTGGAGGTAGAATCGTGTTTCATTATTGCCACCTAAGGAGTTAGTGTTTTCTAAAAAACTTCTTCAGTTATCTGTAGTTATTTAAGAATTCTTCTGTGAAAATTAATACTTACTTGAATTTTTGTGATTGTTCATAGAAATAGTAATAAAATTTACCTACCAGAAAAACAAAATTTGAGATTAGGACAGATATTTTGTTAGTATTTTAGCTTTTAACTTCCTTTTATTCCCCCTTTCTTTCCTTTTCTTAATCCCATCCTCTTGAGAAGAAAGGGTATTAAGGACCAGGTACTCCAGTTTTATTTTGTTGTTTATGTTTAATATCCAGATTGTCATTTTTTTCTTCACATTATTGAGAGAAGGCAGTGATATTTACAGTCTTGGAATTGTCAAGGAAATTTGAAGCAAATGAGAAAGGACATATTTTATGTATGTATTTATTTATTTTTCTGCATTTAGGACAGGGTCTACAGGATCTCACTATATAGATTGAACTCAGTGATTCTCCTGTTTTCAGCCTCCCAAGTGCTGCTATTACAGGCATGCGCCGCCACGCCCAGTCTCAGTGACTGTCTGAGGGCGGCCTGGGGTGGGGTCAACACAGCACACTGGGGATGGAACCCTGGCCGCTGGGCTCTCATAAATACAGGAGGGTACTTGCATAGAGAATGACTCTTGTTCATATCTTACCAGGGTAATGTATTTTCCTTATAATATCATTCCAGAATTAGAGAACATTATAGAAAATTTGAGATCTTTTCCTCTTATCTCATTGAATAACATTTGTGTAAGTGTACTGTAATTTCCAGAACCATATCCTGATTAAACTCAGTGTCCTGGGTGCAATTCATATATCCTCTGAGGAACAGTTTTGTCATATTTTTATTATGTTCAAAAAATGCTGTTATCATTGTTTCTTATATGTGTTTAAAAATCCCTATCAAAATTCCATGTTGAGTGGCTTCCAGAGGTGGCAGGGTTTTGTTTTGGGGAGTGTGTGTGTGTGTGGGTGTGGGTGTGGGTGTGTGTGTATGGTCTTTTTAATTTTTGAACTCATTTGCCTTTGAAATGGGCTCTAGGCTAATTTTGCTAAACATATACCGTGGGGGAGCATTTGCACTCGTAGTGATTCTCCTCCTTGGGGGCTTTTGGGAGCATCACATCCAAGCCACTGTGGCTAGTGGTGCTGTAGTCTAATGTGAAGAAGTTGTAGTTTAATGTGCTGCTATTATTTGTATTTCAGGAACAGGAGAGAGTGGCAAGAGTACATTTATCAAGCAGATGAGAATCATCCATGGGTCAGGATATTCTGATGAAGACAAAAGAGGCTTCACTAAACTGGTGTATCAGAACATCTTCACGGCCATGCAGGCCATGATCAGAGCTATGGACACGCTCAAGATCCCATACAAGTATGAGCACAATAAGGTAGGTGGAACTCCTCATTGCAGCAGCTGGGCAAAGCTCTCAGCAGTGATGCAGCAGTATGAGTAGTCTGTTATTATGTCTACAGTGTACTTTGTTTTTGAAATGTACATTTCTCATTTTATTTTGAGACTGTTAATGGGCATTTCAGTGTTTATAAATGTCTCTTTCTTAAATCTTAAGAAATTGGAAATTGTATTATAGTGGTAGTGAAAGACATTTTGATATTTGACAATAAATCCATAAAGGCTTAGACTTTGTGGGGAGCCTATTATATTAAAATGTTTCTGAATATCATAACAATTAGCCGGAGTGAAGGAATTCAAAGATACAGTGGCTTCAACCTCCTACTGTTTGCGCTTCATTGAAAAAAAAACCAAAGAAACTAGCTTAAGATCATTCTGTCTGGTTGAATTTTTAATTTTATAACTGCCTTTTAGTAATGCTACAGGCTTTATTTTATTTCAAAATAAGTCCATCTGTCAACTTCAAATAACCTTTTCAATACATTCCCTTGTAATGCAAACTTACAAACATCTTTTAAGACAGGATGAGGGAAAAAGAAAATTTCAGCTTTTTAGAATTCAAAACATTCTTCTAATATCTAACATTATCTCATAGTTGAAATAGAAAATTCCTCCTAGGTAAAAGCAGATGTTATAATTGATATTTAAAGTACTGCAAAGTTAACAAACAATACTGTATTGATATATTTGAGGATAGCTTTGCATTAGCGTTTATGCTCTACTTGATCTGCAGAAGGCTTGCAGTCAGGGACTGGAGCTACACCTGGCCTGAGAGTATATCCGAGCCTGCCTGTGTGAGAAAGCGAACTCTAGTATGCATGGAAATGTCTTTATAGTCCATTTTCTGTCCTAATCAGTAACTCCCCTCTCTTTTCATGTATATTTTTCGTAGTCTTTTACTCCTGAGAGTTTATACCTACTGATGTTATAGTAAGCTGATTTTTAGTAAGCCTCACTGCATTTATATCTATACAGTAATTCAGAATCCTGAGTAAGAATTTTCATTCTCTCAGTACTGTTGAGAAATCCACTGTGAGGCCTATTTCCATTTGTCACCATCAGTAAATAGCAAGAAACTGGTGAACCAACTGTGACTTAGAAACTGAAAAATTAGTTCACAAAAATGAATCCAGACATAAGATAGGGCAATTCCATGTACCTTCATCTCTGTTATTAGCAGAAGGTTTCTTAATATATCAAATTATCTTTCTTGTTTTGGATAGGTCTTTCAAATTAACTGTAAGTTTTTTAATTTAATTGTTCCAATCACATTTGATAGAGCCTTGATAGGGCCAACACCAGTTCAGTGTGTCCACCCAAGATCTTAGAGCAGTGTAGTTTCATTTTACTTAGGTCCCTCGCAACACCCAGAGGACATGCCAAAAAGTCACAAGCCCATCATTTCCATAATGTACCCTTCAAAAACCCACTGAATTGTACTATAAAAGTGCCTCAGCCTGTGAGAGACCTCTTCTCTGTTCTGATTCAAGAGAGGCCCCTTGGGTTTATCAGTGAACCTGCTTGAACTATTGCGCTCGCTTTCCTTCTCACCTGTTCAACACTTGTTTTCCAGTGGCAGTTTATCTCCACAAGTAATAGAGAGGCCTCTGCAACTACTTCTGCCTACTTTCACATCTCAAAGTAAAAAGACCAGGGCAGGTTTGTGAGCTCAGGAACCTGACACCTGCACCAGAGAAAACTGCATGGGTGTATCTATGCACTCTAAATCGTAAATAATTGCATTTTATTTTTTTCCCTATGCCAAGAAATCCAGATGTAATAATTTTCTGAGATGGGTGACTTGCTTGTCTCCTTATAATTGTGAGAATATATTATTTGAGGGTGTTGTTTATTTTATCAGTGACTTTTCCAGTCAATGGTTAGTTGATAACATGATGACCTGGTGAATTCTGACTGAGTCCATCTGTGCTGTGTATCTTGTTTTATGCAAATACATGTGAATGCTTGTCAGTTTACATGTTATAATTTATTTTATTGATTTATTGATTTATTTTTACATGTTATAATTTAGTACAATCTAAAGTTTTCTTAGAAGCTCCAGCTCAAGATCTTGCTCTGACTTTAGATTTTATATGAAAATCATTTATTAGACCATCATGTAGATGGAAAAGATAGGGTGAGATTTATGATATATAGAATGTTTCACACTGTTATTTGAGGTCTTTATGTCAGTACTGGGCAGTTATAAATTGACAGTATAAAAGTTACACTAATATGCATTATTTTCAGCTATCACAATTATCCTATGAAATCTTCTTATGTCTTCTGGACACTTAACAGCCTGCCTAATATTGTGAGGTCAGTGTGTCCCAATATTAGAATTTCTTATATTTAACCTCCTTTAATTCACAGTGTACTTTTGCATTTGTTCTATTTTTGGTACATCATATACATAGTCTAAAGCATCACTGTTTGTTTGCTTCCTTCACTCCTATCCCACCCTCTGTCTACTCCTTGCCTTTTTAAGGCATGTGAAGGAAATAATATCTTCTTCATTCTGTTCAAGTCAGCTTCTACTTTCTGTAAGAGTTTTTCTGTTTCACCATACATACTGCTAAGGAATCACACTCTATTTTAGTATAACCTCTAGCAGAGTGTTTATATGTAATAGTCTGACTTGTATTAATTAGAGTTATTTGGGTATTGATCTTATTTTCATGACCAGATTTTAAGCTCTTCGAAAGTAAATATCATGTTAATTTGATCTTGGTATACTTCATTTTCCCCTGGTATTGTGTCTTGTACATAGTACATGCTCAAGAAATGAGTGTTCTATGAATAGCACAAAATTTGTATGCTTAAATAGCTGAAATTCATCTCTTCTCCTGAAGTTAATGAAATGATTCTTCAAATCAGTAAATAACTTAAAGTCTTTTACCATGTGTAAGGCAATAAATGGTGCACATTGTCAATGATGTAGAAATTTAATGAGGATTGGGCAGAAATTTACAATCTAGAAAAGGGGAAGGACATACTAGAGGGAATAGATGGCTATTAAAAAGAGACATTGTACATACAGTAGTGAAATGGGCCAGAGTAGTTGGAGTACAATCCTTATATAGGAACATTGGAAAATGCTTCATTAGTGCCCTTGTGAAAAGTTTTGAATCCAGGCTAATTTGGAATCTTATTTTCTTGGGTTCATGATCTTTAATGATAACATTTTATATTTTGGCGTTTTTATAGCAATTTCTAAGTAAAGCTGTATTTTCTATATTTTATAAATTATATAAAAACTCATTGGATATGCTGTGAGTTTGATTAGCAGTTATTTGGAAGCAGCACATTCTGATTTATATTATGGTCCGATATTAACAATACAATTAAGTATAAGCAACCATGTTGGTTTTGGAAAAAAAGATCTCTGCACCTACAGTCATGTTGGCCATAGTCTGTAGGTGGTAGCATAAGCAAACACATGCCTTTTTATTATTGCCCAGGACATCTTTGAACTTGCTTTGAGCTCATTAACTTTATAAAAATTGTATGGCCTGTTTGATACTGGAATATTGTTTATAGTTTTTTTTTGTGAAATTGAGTCTAACTCTGTAAATGCCATACCAAAATATTGAAATATATTTTAATTCTACTTATGTGGCATGATTGAAGAATATGCTTAAATTTTAATTTTCTGTTTTAAACTTGCATTACAGCAAAAGACTTTGCAATTATTTTCCCCTTGCCTCAGACATTTTATCCCAGTGTTCTTGCAATTTTCTGCATCAATTCTGGAAGTCATCTTTCCTGAGTGGCTTTAGTTTTATACTAGTGGCTGCTTCGGTGTTCTAAATCAATTCAAAATGTTTACCTTCTCTAATCGTTTTGACCTTGGAAATAACCAAAAGCCACATAATGTGAGGACCAGTGAATAAGGGGTACAAAGATGTATAATGTTGTCATGAGCCCACTTTTCCATTGAGTGGCACTCAGCCCCAGCATTCACTGTATTTTTGATCATATTGTATAAAGACAGGAAAAAGGACTTACATGCCTTTTTGTAAACCTTATCCTGTTTTAAGGGTTGCATACACAGGAAGGAGCATATAAAAATTGTAATAAATTGCAGATTTTTACCAAGATCAAGATTCTTTATTTATCTATTGTCTTGTTCTTGGACTTTGCTAAGCAAGCAATGTTTGTAGGAGATCTACTAGGACTCAGTTCAAGTGAAAAGACACGTTTAGCAACTTCTGAATATAGTATCTTGTATGCTAGGGTTTGTTTATATCTAAATATTTTTGCCTCTTTTCTCAATATAATCCTTCATAGCTAATGATAAAGGAATTGTTTGCCATTTGATTAAATGCAGAGATACATGAAAGGCTGTACTTGGGGCACAGCATTTAACTGTGAGATTAGTCCATCATGTCTTACATTCTAAAAGGATGAGCTTCCATTTCTGTTATTTTGTAATTTTTTTCTATGCAGACATACTTTTCTGATTATTCTTTGCTTTGGTACTAAATTTAGCCCATAAAAAAGGAAGAGATATAACATCTCTGTGTTTCAGTGAAGGACCTTTCTCTAATTACAGCTCAAGAAAGTAGATCATAAGGTTTTGAACCTGTGATTTTTATGTGTGTATTGTCTTTTCTTGACAGTCAGTGTTCTTCCTACATTCATACACGTGTGCTTTATTTTCTTACAGTCATGCAGCAAATTGCCTTACTTAAGCAGTCTCGTTGTATAACCCCCTACTGTTCCTCTATGCTGCCCTCCCCCTGCTAGGAACATTGTAGGAGTTTTTGTTCATTGAGCTTAGTCCAGAGAGTGGATCCTGGCAACCCTTTTTAGTTGGCATATTGTTTCTCTGGACTGTGAAATCTGGATATTCTTACTGCAGTATAAAAGGATTAGTAGCTCCCCGCTTCCCAGAGTATTGGGTGCAGTGCTCCTTCCTGCACTGAGCTTACCAGAGTTGTCAAGGAGCGTTCATTATTGGCTAACATTGGACAA